CATCTCCCATCTCCCATCTCCCATCTCCCATCTCCCATCTCCCATCTCCCATCCCCCATCCCCCATCCCCTGGGGACTTTCAATCTGAGTTTGACCTTTCGCTGTTTTGCTTTTGATCGTTTGACAAATCGCCTGAAAACAAAATGTCGGAGGCCAAACGGAGAGATGTCAAAAGCAAAAGTCTTTCATGACAAAATGCTGGACGACAAAGTCGCTTGAGACGATATGTCAAAATGTCTTGTGACAAAATAACAAGAGGAAATTGATCAAAAAGACAAACTCACCTTGTATTATTGTCCTAAATCACTTTGACTTTTGAACTTTTGACATTTTTGACTTTGGCTTTTTTATGTCCGCTCTCGGCCACCGTAGGCTCAYTAGTCAGTGATCGAAATATTTAGTAAAACATAACAAAAAGTAATTTGGCTTATACGTTTTTATTTTAGGCACCATGCAATTTTGGACCATACATTACGGTCTTTTCTAGTTTCCGTACTACGTCAGCTCAAGTGAATAAAGTCAAACTCTTTGATTTACAATCTTTGCCAAGGAAATAAAAATACTGAACGGGAGTCAATTTTAAGAAACAATCCATGATAAACCGTCTTTATATGAATTTTATCTTTTATAAGCCAGATATATTTAGCAATTATTCGCCGAGGGCGAAGTGAATATCGGGGAATATTTACCGGGACGCGAGTCTTCGAGCGGCGAGGTAAATATTCTCCATATCCACTGAGCCTGAGGCGAATAAATGTTTTAGCATATACCAACTTGTGTAAAGAGTAACTTAGTTTTATATACAATAATTCAATAAAAACAAACAAACAGAAACTTTTAGTTTGCGTGACCAATTCACGCTATACTTTTAGCAAAACTTTTAGCAAAACCTTTAGGCCATACTTCGTTGGCTTTTTAGTATTGATAGGAATGGCATTTACTTTCATTATTTTCAATTTCCTCATCGAAAATTGTAGCAAAACGATTGCCGCCAGTTGCCATTTTGTTGCCGACTCAATATTCCCAGATTCAGAGGTGAATATAGTAGAATATTCACCTCCAATTAAGCAATGAGCGCGCGCGTTCTTGCCGGGAAGTACACAAGTTGGTATATGCTAGACAACCGTATACACGATCGYGAACCACATGGTGACCAGTTTCGAAACCCTATAGTAACCCAATTTATTATATAATTACCAATGAAATATCTATTTCGCTGCGCTCACTCGTGAGAGATCTTTTCAACACCAGAAGATAAATTGCGTATCTCCAAGCGCCCATGTAATATCCTCTATTTATTTGATTTACGCATACAGTTTTTCATTCGTATTTTTGTATCTGAGGTTTTGTATCTGTTTCAGCTGCATTTTAATGATGACTCTCCTTATTGGAATAGTAACTATTGTCATTCTTAGACTAAGGCACTAATTATAATGCATCATGCTGATGAGCAAGCCTAATTTTGGGCTTTATCTTGAAAAGTGAAACGACTATTTCTCCCTGTTACGGTGAATTTGAAAATCATTGCTTGATAGTCGGACATCGGATCAGCCATAAAACAAGATTCAATTAACTTGGTCCGTTTCCTTTTTTCAAAACCACTAAATTAAGGAACTTGTCTGTTATTCTAAGATCTTCGTTGTGACACAACTGAATAATGCACAATAAGTTTCCATGCTAAGATCAAAGAGCATAAAAAATAGTTATTTTGTTTTTCGGTTGTGTTAGCTGTTTCGATTCCTCACATGGAAAGAGTAAAACTTGGTGCTCTGGGAAAAAAGCCAAAATCAAAATAAACATTTATTCTCTACAACCAAATATAGTTCGCAGCACAACTGCTTCGGTTCTACAATTATTTTGTGCTGCTGAAATACTCCTTCGTGACATTTGGTCACTTTGTATCGTACAGAACAGTTTGAACATGGACAGGATAATTTTTCAGGTTACACTGACGTTTTGTTGTTTGGCTTTTGGCCCGAAAGGAAAAATTAATGGTAAGGATAACTATACCATTGTACTTATTACAGGGATTTTGTGATAAAATAGCTATTAATGCTAATCATTTATGTCAATAATATTCATTTGTGTCTTTTTGATCATTATACACTTAAAACTGAAAAAAAATATGGTTCCGTGGGTTAAGTAAAATCACTTGTCATATGACCCGTATCTGCCCGGGCGCGCGCTCTTAAAAATGCTGCGCTCGGTCCGTACKGCATCACCTCGAGCCAAATATTTTCCCGTACGGCCATCCCACTCAGTCAATATATAAGTACATATTATCGCTTATTTATGATAAGGATTGGGTAGTATTATGTATTATTAAGCATGGTTAATTTTGATTATTACTACACACTAAAAACTGAAAAAAATTGTTTCGTTGGTTAAGTAAAATCATTTCACTTACTATTATTAAGTAATAATTATCATTAATCATTATTATCTTTGAACATTACACACTAAAAACTGAAATTAAATAAATTAAAATCATTTCACTTATCATTATTAAGCATTATTAATTAATACATTAATCAGATAAATACTTCGTGATTATATCTTTAGGTTGTGTAGAGAAGTCTCTTTCAGGAAGAAACAGTCKAAATATATCTGACAGCAGTTACACAGCCTCATCATCGTTTGATTATCGCTATGTACCTCATAACGCCAAGCTGTACGGTAAATATGGATGGGCACCAAGGTATAATAGTAATCCTGATGATTACCTACAGATTGACCTCGGTACTCCACGTGTTATTACTGCTGTGGCAACACAAGGAAATGGTGGTGATCTAGAGAGCGACGAAAACAAAGAAAAAAATGAGTGGGTGTCAAGTTACAAGATTAATTACTCAGATGACTCGTCAAACTGGATAAGTTATAAAGACGACGACGATATACAAAAGGTAATGACAAGCCACTGGAAGAGAACCCTGATTTTAGGGATATTGCTTATTATTCAAGTACATGTCATAATATTAAGCAATGATTGGATAATGATCATTCTCGCAGTCATAGCTCCGGAGATTTCAACAGTGATTACCTCACTAGCGAGACTTCAAATCGCATATGCTAACAATATCGAGGTTTTCAAAATTTAGATTCGGCTCTAAACGCCATAAAATTAGTGGTTGTACCAAAATTCCATTGTGTGAACGGGGCCTTGGGTAAGTATTATGCTATATCATAATTTCATTGTGTTGCAGATCAAGTATAAATGTTTTTCAAATCTAGCCCATAATTAAGCTATACGAATAATTTACTAAATATATATACGGAGAAAAATAACTATGTATACACGTGGATTTAAGACTAAACTAAATCGTGCACCATTTAAGGTGGAACCAAAATAATTCAGAGCGAATTTTGGACAATTTTGTTCTCGCTCCC